TTGTAAGCTTAAGACGCAAAATATACGAGCTGAATTATATTTTGACAACTTATTCACAATGTTTTTTTGTTCGACGACAATATCTCTTCATCCTTACATTAACAGCAGAAATATATAAAAATTTACATACAAATTATAGAGCAGTATCATCTATACCATGCTCTGCATAAACAGCGAAGAGACGTTGAAATCGCCACGCACAGCGACAAAAACTAGTAGACTTACCAGTAGCTGCACAAATTATGTGCTCGCCTCCAATTTGTTGCTTCACTATTACGCTTTTGGCATATCTTTCTAACCTAAACACATACTTCTCTACATACACACAATGTTTGCTTTATTTTGGCAAGTTATTATAAAGAGATGTGTGAGTGAGTGCAGCATAGTGTCTCTCTCATTAAATTTAATGAGGAAGCTTACCTTTTCTAAGCGTCTCTTAATTCACCGAAATTCCTTCATACTCATCTGTTTTGTTTTAAACATTTTTTCGGCGGCTAAGCATGTAAATGCTACAAAGTCCGCTGCGCGAAGGCAATCCTATTTACTGAACAACAACAACGACAACCAGTGTGCGTTGGTTTAAAGCCTATTGCTTAGAAAATGTTTGAATTATGAATACAGTAAATAATTTAGTGAATATTTTTAGTCGCTTCTTTTGCAAGGCTTTCGCTCTTCTGCCACAGATTGCGGAAAGTTTTTGCCACTTTAGCGTAAATCATTTATGGGAGCTCCAATGAATATGCTTGTTGAAATATACGTACGTATAATTCGTGCAGAAAGCAGAGTTTTTAGTTCACGGAAATAATTGATGTGGAAATGAGTGGAGCGTATGTCCCGTATACAGATGGATTGTTTTTAATGGCAAATGTGTACAAGTATGTGTGGTAAATAAGCCTATGGTACAGTAATTCCTATGTGAATGCAATGAAAAATTCGCCGAAATTTAAATTTAACAATATTTAAAGCTCAAGGATTGAAAAACCTAAAAGCACTTCCATAAATGTCGATATATTCTAATGGACGTCGACTGTGAATCGGCATATATAATTTACCTAGTGACGGAAAAAGTTCCTTATAAAGTATAACAACATTTCTGAAGCATTTTATAACTGTAGTAATTTTTACTGTATGCATACATATATATATATATATTTTGGAACTGTAATTCTATTTTTGTACGCCTGAAATCAAATATCTGTAATAAAAGTAGAATCAGAGCACAATTCGTAGAAATGTTGGCGCAAATTATATATTTATAGAATATTATATAATATAGAATTCATTAAAAACGACTATGAAAGCATATACCGAAAAGAACAAACATATAGTGAAAAAATTTAAGTATTCTTATGTTTTTCCTTGTTTAGTCACCACTATTTTATTATTAATAAAACCCTTATGCATTGACTCAGAATTCCGTCATACTATGGTAAAATTTTGGAACACACATTCTTATCTAGCAAGACAGAAACATAAGGATTCGATTGATTTATTGGTCGATTGGAACTAATTAATATAGATTAACTACATCTATCTTCAATAAAGTTAGGAATTACCATGTACATATTTATGTGAAATGCTATTGATAAAATTATGCTCTTATTTAGAAACCTACACAAAAAATTGCCACAAAGCTAAACAACTAAAACTAAAACTAATAACGATCAATGCCTTTTGCAACACCCTTAATTTTAATAGGACAATAAATATGAAATTTTTGGAAACAATTAGCATTTGATTTCCTTTTATGGCAGTGAGCACCACATGGCGTATGAGCGACATTATTAACATACAATATATTATACACATGTTTGAGCACTGGTTACTTTCAGTTTGTATGGCAGCTATACATCTGATCACTAAGATATCAATGGTTCCAACAAATGAGTTGCTTCTTAAAAAGAAACAGACGTGTGAAAAATTTGAGATCCATATCTCAAAAACTGAGGGACTAGTTCGTGTATATACAGAGAGGCAGACGGACATGGCTAAATCGACTCAGCTCATCAGGCTCATCTTTTATGTATATGTATTTATATATATATATATATATTTAATAGGATCTCAAACATTTCCTTCTAGGTGTTACAAACTTCATCGCAAGCTATAAATAGAATTGATTACCTTCAGGCATAAATAAAGTAAACAAAACCAATGTAATTTTGACTCAATCATCTGTGACAGAAAGCGTTAGCCACAACCAGCAATCACCTGTAGCTATTTTGTTACACCTACTCATATGTAGTTATTTTGCTGTTATCCGAAATATATATAAATAGCTTTAAGTGCAAACATATACACAGTATAGACAAGTATATATGTGCGTATAGTGTGAAGTTGTAAATTTTGTATACAGATTAACAAATGTTTGCACAAAGCCTTTCTATGAAAGCAATAAGCAAACCACGATCCGCCTCCGCCGTGCATACTGCCAAAGTGTCTGTGATATTCATTGTTATGGTTATATCCGCACACGCCCATACATATTTACATAAGTAAATGTACGTGAAGCCTTGATGCATCAACACTTTATCGTTCCACCAGGTTAAATTGAATTTTTGCTTACAATCTGACCTTTTTTGTGGGAATATAATAATGTGCTCTGTGTATGGGAAAGGATCTATCTACTGCTCGTATGTAATTTGTATGTAAAAATTTGTGTGTTATTTAAGACAGAAAATAATGTATTACGATGAAATTTTATTTTGTTGCCCATTATCTTAGTACCAGTAAATATTTCTATAAATTGTTTACAACTCCTTCTACTTAAATGTGATAAGATGACTTTCATTTGCTCTTGTAAAGCTGTGTCTAAATTTTCTCTCTACTTGATACGGCAGCCAAACTGCTGGCTGAAAGAATTACTTTTCCACGTTTTGCCGATTTTTACCAAATAGAGAGTTATGAATTTTTATTGATCTTAGATACTTCCGAGAAATTTTGAGCTTGTTTGTGCCGTAGAACCGGCGTACGGAATTTCTTTATTTTAAGCAAATAAAGTAAGCAGACTAAATAGCTTTTTATATATCATTCTAACCTAACTCTTTCTATCAAAATATTTTAATACCAATTTCAAACTCTATCATATAGTAAACAAAAATATTTTAATAAATAAAGACGTATATATGTAGGTATGGTATAAATGCACATAATAATGTTTTACTCCTATCACACCCATTCTCTATACGCCTACTCCTTCAGTTTATGCTTCAGCAGTTTGTCTCTGTTTACATTCACTTATTACCGAAACGTGATACGGCAAAATGGCATAGTAATCCGCAATCTATAAAATGTATCAATTTTCGTACACTTGTTGTTATTGCTACTAACGTCAAAACACATGCGCAACCGGTATGCACGAGCATGCCGACTACTTGTCGTTATTGTAGATAATCTTTATAATTGGAATCGCTCACATGTACATATATATATATAAGCGCAACTGTGAATGGCGTGGGGGCTTTTGGCACAAGTTATTTGTTTACTTAGTGAGAGACATTATGCACTTTCTGGACTATTAGCCAAGTAAGTGACCGGGATTTATTATTGGCTCTATTGAAATATAATTTTCATGCATTATTATTTTGATTTAATATATATACATATGTAGATGTTTATATAGCTTGCACTAGTGCATGATTATTATTTACGTATGATAATTTCATTAGATAATAAATGGTTTGAAATAAGGACAGCATTAGCCTCAATAAATTGCGTTATGCTGCATATTGAATTGTTGAATATGTGACTGAATTTTGCAACATCTATACATAAGCATATTTATTTCCATTACAATTTAATATGCATTTTATTTATTGTTATAATTTGATTTGTTTAGCAGATAAACGCCACAACCAAACAGTTGGTTTATTTATTTGGCGAGGCATATATAATATGTATGTAATATCAAACATAGTCTGAAGTGATAAATATGCCACACGCCACGGTTATTAGTATTGCAAATCTAATATATGCGTAAATACGTTTTATAATTTGAAATGTGTCAACACTGCGGTAAACTAGTGGTTAATTAATGGACTAATCAATATTTGCAATATGATTTTCATACTTTCGCAACATGTTGCTACAGAGTATAAAAGTTAATACATAAAACTAATCTATACAGATATAGGGTTTTTTTGCGCAATCAAAGGACTGGCGATACATATGTGTAGAGAAAATTTCAAATTCTGAGCGATTTGAGATTTTAAATCAACGTGGCAATTAATTTAGCACTGTGTGATTTTTAACACACTTTGATGCATATCTGATATGAGTAAGCTTATCAGGTCAGGCTTTCGGACACGGCTTGAAAATACATGTTTTTAATAAAAAATTGATTTTGATGCTTCAAATTATCAATTTGAATTGAAATCACCACATAAAGCGGAAAGTTATGACGATCATTTAAAATAGATTAAATAAGACTTAATATGCTATCAATATTCTTACATTTCTCGAACTCGTACTTTCGAACAATCTGCTTTATATTACTGTCTTTCTTCTAAAAGCGATCAAGAGAAAAGTTCAAACCCCATTCATCAATTTAAGCTTATCCAAAAAATCACAAATGTTGCTAAAAAGTATGTTAATATCTCCAACTCGGTTTACCGATTTTTTCTTACAACAAATAACTCAAATATATATATCTCTCATTTTGGTTACACTTTTTTATACTCTGCATGACGGGCTGAGTCGATAAAGCCGGTGCAACCGAAATTATGCTTCCTTTATTTTGATACCACAGGGCATACCAATTAAACGAACAAAAATCAAAATGTGCAACATGAAATATCTTATCTTTTGCATGCAGTTCAATGCTCAACATGTCGTATACGTAATATTTCACTTTACACGTGTGCGCATATCTCCTCAGACACAGACGTTTGATGTTGAGTAAAAACGCTTAAGCTAACAATAACTCACATTCACATGTTCATGTATTATTTATCTTCATTTGCTTGAGGTACGATAAATATTATTATTATATCTGTACTTACATGCAGAAAAATCAACTGCCATAGGTCAGATTTTTGTGCTTAATGCTGTAGCAGAATTCTTCTTAGCTGTTAACGCACTGCTGACTGCTCTAGTAGTGTTGCTTATTGGCCACTGACTCTTCAATATTTAAAGATCTCGATCTGCTACGCTTTATACAGCGAATCGCATATAAACTGTGTGTGTAATCAAAGTCCTCTGGGTAGTGTGCAGCCGCAAGCTATATTAAATAAAATGTGTACCCATAGTGTATTTTATGATGCTGAGTTCTTTTTATTTCTTTCTTTTTCACTATCTAGCTATGCTTTATGTATGACAGCGTATTTCTCATTATGCTCATTTATTTTGTTCTCACTTTCATTTTTTGCCTTGTGTTGACTATTCATTTTCTTCTATTTTACGTTATTTTAATTTTTGTTTATGCTGCTTGCTTAGGTTGCACCCAGCTTAGTGAGACAAAGACTTAGCCGGTTATTTGTTTTTGTTTCCCAAGCAACGAAGAAGAAGTGGTATTCAGCATATTTGACTTCGATTTAAATGCGGACAATTAGGCAACAGTAATTGTTGTTCGTGTTAGCTTTATGCACGTGACAAGAATTTAATTTACCGGAAAATAAGTAAATTTGAAAGCGTTGCACATAAGAAAATAATAAAGAGTTGTTGTTGTGGAAAAAATGTGTTTAAAATTTTATGTTCTGTTTTAATTTAATTTTTTTATTAAATTTTAAATTGTTTGTTTTGTTTTAACAATATTTTTTTTTTACTTTTTGTTATAGTTTTATTTATAATTTTCAGTTTTTATTTTATTTAACAGTAGACTTAATCATTTCGGTTAAGACTTTATTGCTTTCTAAATCAACCGAATTTGATTTAATTCATATTTTCCATTATTTCTTTCTTTTTTTTGATTTATTTTAAATATTTTTAGAAATTAATTACAGACTTTCAATTTGTAACGGTATTTTACTCTATTTTTTACTCAAATTTCTTTTAAATTTTGATTATAATTGTTCATTTTACTTATTTTAAGTTGATTTTATTTTACTTTAGAATAAAATAAATTTTATTTTGTCTTATTTAATTTCATTTTTTTGTATTTTTTTTGTTTAAAAACTTTTTTATTTTTGTTGTATTTAATTTTATTTTACTTTATTTTATTTTATTTTTTTTTTACATTATTTAATATTATTTTATTGTATTTTATTTCATTCCATTTAATTTAATTTATTTTTTTGTTTTATTTTATTTTACATCATTTAATTTAATTTATTTTATTTTTATTGTTATTATTTAATTTTTTTTATTTTATTTTATTTTTTTTGATTATTATTATTTTTTTATGTTTTTATTTCATTTACAATTTTTATTATTTTAACTTATTTTGCTTTCTTTAATTTTTTATGTTGCATTAATATTGTGTAATGAAAAATATTTTCTTTTTAAAGAAAATAATTTTTTTTCTAAAGATAAAAATTGTTTCTATTAATTTGTATTTATTTAATAATTCAATGTCTTTTGATGATTTATTAATTTTTTAAAGTTAATTTAATTCTGTTTTACTATAATAAATTTTCTTCGAAATTTTTTTCAAATATTTGAACAGCATTTGAATATCAATTCAGAACACCTTAAAGCAGTTTAAAATTTCAGACAACAGCGCCTCAAAGTATGCTTCTACTATAACTTCCACTAACCACAAAACAAATGCTTTGCCAATTATTTTCACTTTAGCAACAGCTTTTAAAGCGACGGTGTTTAATTAAAACACTTTTAAATTTGTTTGACAGCCATACAAGCGTATACGAGTGCAGCCTAAGAGAAGCACTTAAGAAAGATTGGCTTTACTTCGATTGCGCCACTAATTTGGCATTACCACTCACCACGGAATCGCGCGTTGAAATAAACATCAAAGCGGTGCCGAGCGAGCTACCGAGCCACTGAGACAGCATGCATTGCTTTGTATGCGCCATCAACCGTAGTTAACTACTAACAACACACTAGCAAACAGTTGTTTGAAAATCGAATTGTCTACTGATGCACATGCACTACATAGTTAGAAGCTGCAGACAGTGCTTTGCTGAACCGCACACAAGCATCGACAGAAGTACACTGCATGTGGTCTTCATTTTTTGGTATCAAGCAACGCTGCTGCCACTGTTTGCTGATAACGTTATTCGAATAAGGATTTTCGAAAAATATATTTCGAAATCATCTGCTATGCGCGCACGCACACTGCCGCACTTCGTGGCTAGCAAAAACTGTAGTTAAAGCCAGAGCAGCAGCCAACTGCGATATAACTGTATTCATGGCGATAAAAGTGTATATATGCCGCCCCCAAATATGTGTACATGTATGTATGAATGTAAGAATTTTCGTTGCCGTTAGAGTGGTAGATAAGTACACACGGCTTTGTTTGAAGCAAAGTGTTGACGCGAAAAATTGTATCACAACAAAATATGCAATAAAACGTAGATAGGTAAGAAAAGCAATGAGTAACGGTAATATTGGCATGTTGTTGCTTACATAAGAGAGTAGCTAGAGCTTATAGGTTATTCACAAGTAAGGAAGTGCTACGTTCAGGTGATAACATTTTATACTCTCGCTAAAATTTGCAAAGGTCAAAGCCGTGAAAATACTTTCAGGTGTTGTAAAACAAGTTAAAAAAAGAAAAAAAAAGAAAAAGAATTCAACAAGCATTATTCGATTCGACTTTTATTAACTTATATTATAGTCTTATACTCATTACTAAATTTTTTCTTTATATTCGAAACATGGTTATTAAAATCGGCCTATTAAGTAAGAAGGCTTAATATATTGGGTACATGTTATAAGGGAAAGATGAGCGAGTAAAACGAAAATAATTATACATATTAGACAGACAGTCAGACAGTCACCCGCAATTCAACTCGTCTCTTCGTGCTGATCATTTATATAAAAATAACTCTATATCTATCCCAAAAAAATTTAGGGGATACAAGCAACCGTTAGGTGAACAAAACTATAATACTCTATAGCAACATGTTGCGAGAGTATAAAAACGTAAATTAAATTCATTCTTTGAACTTTGTTCAGGCAACACGACTTATTTTTTTCGCCTTTCAAAATGTTGTAAAAATCGTTTTAAATTATTGTTTAAAGATTAATCAACATTAAGACGATTTTAATGTTTTAATGTTTAAAGATTAATACACATCCTTGATAAGCTGACTTCACCTCATCATGATGGCTTTAAACACATTAACCAGACCAGATATTAACCACGCATCAATTAGAATAGACAACATATATCTGGATTGTAAACTGCCAACTATTTGCTGACTTTAGCGCCACCTTCGACAGCATGACAATTATAATTATTAGTTACATCATTATTGCAGGGGTGATAATTATGATTTCTTATAAAAATTAAACTCTCGTTATACTATGACCTACTATATGAGAAATAGAAACAATAAATAAAAAATCTTACCGAGAAGATATCATTAAATGTTGAAACGCAGAGTCAATCTTATTTTTTCCCAAGTAAAAACATCATACCAACCGACTAACTGTTCATCGAACTTATTTACAGTTAAATTTATAAAGTTTTAAATAGACACAGTGGCACAGTTCTTCTGCCTACTCACGAAAATTACCATGCATATATCTTTGAGACCTAGAAAAACAAATTATGCTTATCATATAAGGTGCTATGTGAGATTGCCAAACTTCAAGTAAAAATACGGAAGGTCATGTGCAATTAATGGTTTCAATTTCTAGGTACAACACCACTAGTAACAAACTACAACAAATGCTTAACCAAGCTCCTGTTTCTACGAGTTGATGTTATACGACCCATGCGCGAACTTCATATATGGTGTTAAACTACCTCCGAATCGCTGATAATCGCAAGCGGCCTTGCAGTGAAATTATAGCGCAAAGCAGTCTTGGAAAAGCTCGGCCTAAAAGCGCACATCAAGGTTTATCCAACATCATATAATCACAAATATAATTAAACGCCACACACCAACACCAAAAAAACATTTCGCCGCCAGATAGCAACATCAGCAGCTTTGCTGTTGCTTCAGTCATTTTTATTGCCTAAGCTCGATGGCGTAAAAGCTGACTGTTACTGAAAATCTCGCTGATAACAGCTAAATGCTAAGTACATTTGTTGCTTTTACTGGCTTCTTCTACTGCCTTTTGCTTTTATTGCGAATTACTTAAGACGCAACAAATATGCGTACACAAACAAACATACACATATCGTACATGTATATATTGAGAAATGTCGTAAAACTCCACTTGATTTGCTTCCACTCCCAGTGCCACACAATATGTACATATGTAAATGTAAACACCACTACTATCATCCATTAAACCGTGTGTTAAACTGCACTGGATTATCAAAATATATTTCATGACATTTTTTTTTATATTTGTATACCCTGAACAGGGTATGTTATGGTTGCCCCTAAGTTTATAACAACCAGAAGGAAATGTCGGGTACCCTATTAAATATATACTAGGGTCGCCAGTGGTCGAAATTCGACCAATAGAAAATACAATTTATTAACAATGTTAATGGTATTTAAATTTTATTAAAGAATTTGAACAAAGGTGAACAAAATCTAAAGAAAGTTGTAGAAAACAATTTACAAAAATAAATTTAAAAAAAAAATTAATATTTATATATTTCCTTCTCGTGCAAAATCATTTGTTCTGTTTATGGTTTTGGCTTAATTTTTCCTCGAATGAACAATCGAATCAAATGGGCCAATTAGTATAAAATATTGATAAGTTGTTTGTAAGGAAATACCGATAAAGTCTCGAACTACAAGTAATGCTCCATTTTGAAATATTTACAACAAAGAAATTATTCTATACTCACCAATAATAAAGGAAGCAATGGGATATCGTCAAAACACACGAAGAAGTTGTTGTTGTTGATATTGTCGATTCAACCAACTACATAAATTGAAAAAAATTAACTATCATACAATACACTTAAAATTTACCAAAAAATTTCCCTTCAATGTGTTTTTTTTTCAAAACAATACTTGAAATTTAATAAGCGTTACAAATATAATTGTAACAGAGCTCAGTGTTGCAACACGTTAAGTCCAAACACAATTAAAAGTGGAAAAAAATCGCAACCACAAATCCGCCGTAAACGATACACAATTATACGATATATGTATTTGCAACTTATACAGAACAGCGACAAAATGTACTTCTGTATACGACTGTGTTAAGTTAAGAGAAATAAGATCGACCAATGAAAACGCGCCATCGTGCTTGTAGTTGTTGTAGTCGCTAAATTTGCAAAACTCCTGTGTTCCCGTTGACTTACAATAACGTTCATCTTCTTTCCAAGTCAAAAAGGGAACCTAAACACTTTTTTTTAGCGTAATTATATATATGTAGATATATAAATGATCAGCATGGCGAGCTGAGTCAATTTAAGCATTCTCGTTTGTCGGTATATATGCGAATTAGTCCCTTAGTTTTTTAAATATCAATCTGAAATATTTGCACACGCCCTTTTCGCCCAAGAAGCTGCTCATTTGCCGGAACCGCTATAGCATATAGCTGCCATACAAACGAGATATCTTTACGAAATTTGGCATGGATCAAAAGATACTAAGAAATTGTTC